GTTAACAATGATTCTAATGTATCATAACACTTTAGACCTTAATCATATAGCGGGGCGTTTGCTTGTAGCTTTTGTTTGAGTTTTAATTAAGAAGACCTTGTGTCTCAAAGCCTGAGCTGGGTTTTTAATTGCTAGTATGTATATCACACAGACTTCAAAAGAAATAAAATATGTTTATAACAGAGAGCACAAAGGAGAGCTTTGAAATGTCTATAGCCATACAAAGTGACATAATTAAAAACCTCTGAGTGCCTTTGTGATATAAGACTTATATATATTTATTTATGCATATTTATAAGGCAGACTGTTATATACCCTTAGACTTCCTGAGAAAGAAATTTCAGCAATTATAATGAGAAATAATTACTGCAAATGCAGACTACAGTGTTGGTCAGGGCTACAGGAAAACATCAGATTTATTTTCCTCAAAATGTTCTTCACATCTGATATAGTGCACCAAGAAACACCCAAAAGCTTATCTGTGAAGACAAATTTTACAAAATGGAAGCAAAAATAGCATTTTGAAATGTTTTGTAAATCATGCATATTTTAAGAAAAAAATTAATTCACTGTAAAATCAGAGAAACCATAACTTTCTCAAGGATTCATTCATGCAGTACTCTCTCCAAGACTATTCCAGAAATGGATAGTGTTAAATTACTAGATTCAAACAGTTGTGCCTCACTGTTCTCTTCCAGTCATTAATGCATACACAAAATAAAATGCTCCAAGAAAACACCTCTTTCTGTCTTTCCCGTGTTCTAATATCAGTGGCAAATACATTTTTTCAGTATTTTTTATAGTGTATCTTGCAAGGGTACTATCAAGTGAGTGAGTTTCTTCATTTTACTAAATTCAACATTTCCTAGGGAACATGAATGCTACCTCTCACCTATCCAAATATTTTGAGGCCATTAAATGTGTACATATCACATGAAATAGGAGTTTCAGACTCTTTTTAATAAAGTAGCAAATATTAAAGGGAAGGAATAAGCATGGGAAAAATAATGCAAACAGCTTTCTATACTGGATAAAGCCATGGACATCAATCGCTATGCTTCCCAAAATAGAGTATACTGTACAAAGACAGAATGTGACATTCATGTCACAATTCCTATAAATATAGATAGTCCCAGTTGTAAACACCACCAATGGAAGCCAGAGAACTAACCTGCAACACAGTAGCCAGTGACCCAGGAGTCACTCTTCTATAAGACTTCTAGACCAATTGTGACCCTTTCACGATGACATCATTGCTTAAGTTACTTAAAGACTGACCTTTCTTATTTGATCTTCAAAGACCCTGCATGCTGAGAAAGACCATTGCGGGCTATTTCAGTAGGACAACTGCCTGATGCATGCAAGACTATGCTATTCCAGAGATTTATATTTGGAACAGAAATCGAAAACTTAAAACAGACTCTGTATAGTGATAAATGATGCTACTCTGCCTAGCTGTGGCTGCTGAAGGAAAACTAGATAACTAAGGAACAGAAATACATGCAGCAAGGGAGGGTGAGGACAGAACTCTGCACCCAGATATCTGGAGATTGAGAAGAGTCCTGCGTCACTTTGTTTATTCAAATACATGATAACAAACACCAGAATGAAAAGTATTTCCTGATCCTAACTTTTCTACAAAAGACAACACTGCAAAAGCCAGACATAAACCTAACGAGTTGCTTGTATACCTTAAATAAATGTATTTGCATGCATATACTGGCAAATAGGACACAATCAAATGATTTGTATAGGCAGCTGTGGGGTTTTTTTTCCAGGTGAGCACGTCATGTAACTCAGCTCAACTGCTTCATAGACCTTTGAAAATTTGACCTGTGTGTTTCATTTATAAACATATCAAATGAACAAGCAGACTTATTTAACCACTGGAATTTGGCTACAAAGCATTCTGCCAAATGCTCCTCTGAGTTTCATGCAGCCTCCCTGAAGTCAATGGCTTGCTTGGCTGGAATTCAAGGAAGAATCTGGACCATTATCAATAACTGAAATCCTAATAAAGAAACTCAGAAAAAGCAGTTTTACAGATGAAGCACACTATGCAAGCGTAATTGTGAAGAGGAACAATCCCACTTAGAGAAAAAAATAAATGATTCACTGTTTGTTACTTTTGTATTGGCTTCTATTGTTCAAATTAATAGATATTGTTTATAATTATATCTTGATTAACACTATTGTGTTCTAAATATAGAAGGTAAAGCTAGAAAATACCATTTTTATTTGTTTCTTTCAGCCAATTATCTTTTCTTTTCTACTATGTGCTTCCCAAACATGAATAGAAACAGTTCGTGTCAGTGGTACTTTTTTTTTTAATGCTTTCATCCCTTTTTTCTGGCACAATTCTTAGCGTACTGCCTTCCCACAACCAAGATGCCAGTCTTTCACTGAAGCGAGGAGGGTTGTAGTTGTGCAGACAGAGAGAAAGAGTATGTGGTCAGGTTATCCTTAGCAAGAACAACGCCTTCTCTCTAAAACAAACTCCCAGTAACAGTCAGAGCAAAGAGCAGTTCCTCACAGGACCACACCTCACTGACTTATAATCAAGATTTTTTCCCCTAATGACCTCATTCATTTATTTTTCTGATTGTTTCATGTCTTTAAGTTAGGCTCTCAGTAATATGAACAGAAAGTCTGCACAAAAGCCAAAAGTATCAGCCAGTTAAACAAATTGATTTAGAATCTAATGGAAATTAAGGAAAAGATATTTGACCTCCAAAAAAACAACACATTTTTAAAAAATAGTTCTTTCAGAGACCTCAACATGCCCTGCCAGTTACCTAACTGGAAATTCATTCAACACTATGAAAATGAACTTCAGGATTTGGAAATCTACCACCTTGAATACTGACAAGATTTTTTATATATTTTTTTTTTAAAGTATGCTTCCTTGACAGATTAAAAATTCTCCCTGGTTTCCCTACTTTGCTTTATTTCCTTCTTGTAATTGAGTTTTCATGCTGCCATGGGCTCCAATGTTGGGGTTTTTTCTTTTTCTCTGAGATGCTAACGCTAATATGAGTTAATACCAGGTTATTAGGTTGGTTGATAGTGATTTTATCAGTTAGGAGATAACCAGCTTGGCT